CCGTCCCGGCTTTGTAGGGATGCGAGGTCAATGGTCTAACGACTACGGCATGCACGACTATGAGTACACACACACACACCCCAGCGATGCACACACAGTTGGTTGTCACTCCCGAACTCCCAGTCGAACATCGGTATGCGCGAGGTACGTTTGAAAACAACCAAAATAGAAGAACGCAATCTTGAGACATCCGTGGCACCAGGTTGACCCAACAATGCCGACACCAACAAATATTTTTCGGCGGTAAGATATCGAGCGACGAATGCCCGCCTGCGTTCTCCCTCCGTTCATGAGACATGGTGTTCTATACATGCTTGACGGCAATGCACAATGGTACTATGCCGACGTCCGCGTTCGGTTGAGGCAATAAGGAACCCGCCATCCCGCCCGGAAGCTACGAGAAGAAATCCGCGAGCTGATCTCAGTAGGAAGCACAAGGTTCCTTCTTCAGGCCCAAAGTCTGCTCAAATCTACATAACAAACAATTAAAGCACCCGAGTATTCAATAATGGGCACTAATGAGCACAGTACCAAGGGGAAAACGAGTGGTTTGCGAGGTGTACCTTTGCACCTAGATCGATTCTGCCCTGAAACGTTGAAACGTTTGTGACGAAAAAGAATGCCAGCGGGTGGGAAATAACATATCCTGGGGTAGATCCATGGACGGCGGTACAGCCTGTGTTTCCGTTCAGACCAAGCGGTGTGACTAGTACACCAGAGCAGTTGCTCTGTTGCTCTGGTAAACATCAATCGTAGCGTTGTGATTCTGCTACCAGAGTTCCCATACCGTACAACACGTTCGACGTGACGTTTTTCTGCGTTTCAGGCTGCTTAAGGGAAACGAACAAATGAACAGCCTATTGGGCTGATGAACGTCACCACGGTTCAAGTTTTCCTTTCCTAATCAACAAAAAGGAATTGGCCAATTCGATCGAGCTCCCGCAGGAAACCAACGAGGACCTGATATACACTCGACACGCATAATGCTGCCGCTGTTGATACCATTCCTTTTCTCCAACTGTTGAACAGTGTGCCTACCCGATTGGATCAATCCTGATGTTTCCATCTGCCTGTTTCCCAGGATGATGACGCCTGCTTGGCCTGCTTCAGCGCGGCGGACAGATACTGCGAAACAAACTATTCCGACAACCACTGCCTAGCAACTGCCAAGCATCACTGTTGCGTGATTAGGGAGGAAGACGGCTGCAACACCAACGCCTTGATCTTGGAGGTCTTCCGAAAATTTATGGTTTTCGGTTCACAGTATGGGCCCATCCAAATTCAACAGAAACTGTTTGCCTGCTCAAAGTCTAAGGAACAACAAGCTCCAAAGTACTCCACCGAAATGGAGACAGGCCCTGGGTCTTGTGTAATGCCAGAGCGGGCCCTCAGGTATGCTTCGCTTGGTTTGGGTATCCCTGTGCACCAAATTTGTGTGTTTGCGTTCCGTATGTTCCGATGGACACTGGGTGCTCTGATCTCCTGGATGTCCATGTTTTTCGTCTTGTTTCCGCGTCTTGAGGGGGTGTTGGCGGCGAGCGTTTCCTTTTTCGCGTGGAGGGCCGAGCGGAGGAAATGTGTTCATCGTGCCCACCATTATTAATGCTCTCGGCGACCCGCACCGAAACCTTGTTGTCACGGACCTATTTCAGTCAGACTGCATCATCGTGGTGGGGGAGGAGTTGGAGTCATGTACGTTGGTCGACGCTTGCGGCAGTCCGGTTACCTCTGCTCGGGCTACCCCTGCTCCCACTCCGGCTCCGATCGCCAGCGGGACGTCTAGCTTCTTAGCCTGGCGCGGCCGTGTTCGGTGCAGTTGCTACCGGAATCGCCGGTTTCGTCTTCACCGCAGTGGAGATGCTACTGTGAACGGCCCGCGTTTACGCTCCGAAAAAGAGCGTTGGGACGCCTGTTTGTAGTTGTTGCGGCTTTGTGGGTATGATATCATCGAATGGCTTTTCAAGTGTACCCCCAGTCATCAGGTAGTTGCATGAGCGTTGATGGTAACTCGGCGTGCGTGAGGACCAGGTTCGATTTCCTTCAACAGTTGCTCGAACGGATCATGAAGAAGGTTGCGATACTACGTACGTTCAGCACGGCACATGCTGTTTTTCGCCAGATGACGACAAGTCTTGGTATCATTCACGCGGCTGGGAGCGCGTGTTCTCAGCGTCTAATGTCATGCTTCAGAGAACACCCGGCACGCCGGCCGCGGGAGGAATTGCACCTTCTTTTTCGGTAGGGAGGGGCGGTCGTAGCAAGTCCTTCCCGAAAGCGGGGGTTGAAGCTAATCAGTTCCTTCGCCCAGCCGACGCCCCCGTGGGTCGCTTCGGTGATAGCATCGGCCGCAATCTTGAGTACATCATTAGCTATGTAGATGGCGTAGATTAACGGGTACGAAGTATATACGAAGTCCGCAGCAGTTCAGGAGCACTTCAGTATTTTGAGAAGCTTTCTCCAATTTTGAAACATGCAATAGGCAAAGCGGAATGCAGTTCCAATAGTTGTTTGGAGTTGCAGTCGTCGTCCCGCTTCATTGGCTCCCTGTTTAGCGGAAGAGCCTGAGCAGAGATTCCAGCATCTCGCAGCATGCTTCATCCCAGTTGAGCGGTGGTACAACCGCTAATTAGTCGGTCGTGCCCCTAGTGGCGGATATTGGAGCTGTCGTAGGGAAGAATAGCGGATATCGGTTCAAATTTTGTGAACACCCGGCGCTCGTGAAAAGACGGTGCCAAGGATGTCGGTTGTTGTAGAGCTCACGGCTGCACTGAAAACGCGTTACACAAAGGCAGAGGCGGATGGGGACCGCGGTGAAGACTCGGAGATGTGCAAGGTGTTGACCCACCTTGCCATCACCCCGGGTAACTCGCCCCTCCCCCTGCAGCCGTCGCAGCGGCTCTGTCTTGCGCGAAGCTAGAGGAGCAGGAAGAGATCGCCGAGGCTTCGTGGAACGATGCGTATCACGCGCTCGTCGAAGAATGTCCGGCAACCCTTCCGACGACGAGTTAGGCCTAGATGGCACAGTCAAAGTTAACAGTGCAGAGGGTAGGGGCATGATGGCGCCAACGTCCTACTCGGAGCTGTTTGTTGTGTCGTTTTGGCCTTGTTGAAGACTGCGTGGAGTCGTGTGCGAACTATCTTCAAGAGGCAATAGTTGTGTCATTCGGGTATCGCCGCAGCACACGGCACTCAATTCACCAGCGTGTCAAGCAGATATCACAGAGATGCTGGGTTAAGCATCGTATTTCAAACGTGACAAAAGTAACAGAAATTCTTCCTGGGGCACGTGGTTGGTTTCCATTCCGATTATCAACATGAACTATGCAGTAGAGGCACATGTGTATGAGTTTTTAATTATTGTGGAGGAGACGTGACTCGTCGAATCGATGTTACTGCTTTCACCCCCGCCCCCCCTAACCCATTTTTATTGTAGCCTGCATCCCCCCGAAGAGCTACGGCGTACAGGGAGCGAAGTTGAGGGAGGATTGATACTTGTTCACGAACCCACTGTCCTGTACGGTGACGCTGTTCGAGACTCCAAACCTCTGTTGGGATGTAACCTTTGGGATAGGTGTATCCCTTCTTTCTTCCTCTCGCTGCCTCGGCAAGGTTTTGCGTAGGCATGACCCGTAGCGAGGGGGGGGAGGGGGGGGGTGTACTCATAGTCGTGCATGCCGTAGTCGTTAGACCATTGACCTCGCATCCCTACAAAGCCGGGACGGAGCACGCCGGGTTCTCACCGGACCAGGCTCTCACATCACCAAGCGCGAAGCGCCGTGAGATATTCGGCGAGTCGCATGAAGGGTGCGCTGCATCCTGCTAAGGGTGTTCGGCATCTTGTGCTTACTTCCTTGCGTACGGATGACAGCTGCGTATGACTTAATTTATTTTCTGGTGCTTTCACTTCCAGAGACAGTTGTAAGCACTGTGTAACTGCCTCGAGGGTGCTTGACCATTTTAACACAACGTGGTGCGATCATCCCCCTTGCGCGGAGTGAGGGTTCTCCACCCCGCACAACATGATCTACTCGACCACCATTATGGTTACCGCCAAAAAAAAAAACGGAGGTAAAAAAAAAAACGGTAACCTGGTTGCCGAGTTCACGAAGTGAATTGGCTTGTTTTACAACGTCGTTGCCAAGCGACGAAAACCCAACCCCGATGGCAAACACCGAGGGGGGCGAGACCCGTAGCGAGGGGGGGGGTCTTTCTAGCGAGCAGGGCTAGACAGG